TAATAAAAATATAACTTGACATACGTATTTATAAATAATTTATATTCAAATTACATCATTTCTATGACCAAGGGCGGCGTAAGGCATGGACGACGTGGGCCACCGCCTATGCCTGGCGGTTTGAAGGGCCTCGCGCCTCGAAGGTTTATGCATTACTTAAAAGCCGCGAACGCGACGAAAAAATTTTACTCGTCATAAAACGATAAATAGTTTGTCAAATTTTTATTCATAAAAGTGTAGTTTCGACTGCTTTTTATTTTATAAAATCCGTCTTCTTGCGCCACCAGAGGGCCTTTTAAACAATAGGTAGTCTGTTAGCGTTGGCCAGCAGTAGTCCAAATTTAATACGAACGTTTGTATCTTGAAAATTTGATCACGATTTAAATACAGTATTTACTTTTAATATTACAACCGGTATGTCATCGAAAAGAGAACGTCTTGTATTATCATTAAAAGACAAAGTGTTTGTTTCGATTATCCGGATTTTTCCTTATCCGGACTACCTTCATCCCCAATTAGTCCGGATAATCGAGGTTCTACTGTATTATAAATGTACAATAATAAGTTTTCTGATATTCATTAATATAGATTTCTAAAATCATTTTTTTTTACAACCAGACTTTCCAGTTTTTAAATGCAAAATGTGAAGCTTCACATTTAATGAAACGTAACCCACGTAAGATAACATGGACGGTATTGTATCGAAGAAAGCATAAAAAGGGAATAGAGGAAGAAGCTGCTAAGAAGAGAACCAGAAGAACAACAAAGTTTCAACGTGCTATTGTTGGAGCTAGTTTAAATGATATTATTGCTAAGCGTAACATGAAACCAGAAGTGAGAAAGGCTCAGAGAGAACAAGCAATAAGGTAATTAACTTATAAAATTTAAAGCTTATAGGTAAATAAAATAATTGAAATACTTTTATAATTAGGGCTGCAAAAGAAAAACAGAGAGCTTTGAAATCTCAGAAGAAAGTTGTTCAGGCTCCTGCAAAGGTATTTTATCATTTGTTTTACTGTTACATTAAAAAAATGAAAATCAGTTTTTCTCTTGTTATTTGCTGAATTTCTAATTACTGTAAACTTATGCTAATGCATTGCCAATTTTTTATCTGTTAGTGAAGTGATTGATATTTTTTTTACACTAATGATTTTTATTAGCCATTAAAACATGCCATATAATATTACTGTAGTAGAATTTACAATAGAACAGAATAGTGTCAAACAGTTTCTTAGAGCATTTAGTGAGATATCAATAGTATGTCCAAGCAGCCCGGAATGCACATTCCATTATTTGAAGACATCTATCAGAGCTTTATAATAAACAGAAGTGTAAAATTGCATGCCAGTGATTAACAAAAATATTCCTTTTTTTGTAATCATTTATTATAAAGAATTTTTAAACAGTGTATTACTTAACAAATATTGTTATATATCTTAATCATTCATCAGCAATCTATTATTGATTTAACAAGTCTATTGAAAGGGATGAAGAAGGAGTAGCATACAGATATTGCTAATGTTATACATTTAAAATAAAGTTTGGTTTAATTTAAAATAATTCAACCAGAAAAGACAAATATTACAAAATAAAAATGAATAATCATTCATTGATATTTTTTCTTTTTAACAGCAGCAGAAGTTGGCTCCTAAACAAAAGGCAGCAAAGCCTATTCCTGTGAAAGCTCCCCGTGTTGGTGGGAAACGTTAATTATTGTTAAAATTATAAAGCACAAGAATTAATAAATTTTGTGTATAGATGATTTTGTGTTTGTGTATTATTTTGTTTAACAGAATTTATTAATATATGCAGTTTAAGAGTATCTGAAAAGTATGCAGAATAATCTAAACATTTGAAACTATAGCTTATACAGCTTAAGATATAGAAAGACAATAGTGTATTATCAAGAATTATAATTTTCAGTGTGTATTGTCATTGGCTGTAATTTGTATGTTAAAAATTTAATCCTCCATGACTGAGTTTTGTTTTTATGAGTAAGTTGTTAAGTGAGGAGCTTAATTCTTTTTATTTATTCTGGATAAAGAGAAGGTCTAAAGGAAACTACGACTCAATAACTTCATTTTAATTTGCATCTCACATGTTACAGAACAAAAAATACAATCAGCAAAAGTTATAAAATGTGCCGAAATTTAAAGTCTTCATAAAAAAACAAAGACATTTAGATTAATATTTTAGTGAATCCTTCAAGTGGATGCACAACAACCTATCCACTTATTAAAAAAAAAAAAAAAATGTAGTTTTAGAGATTGTGAATACTGACCGACTGCAGACCTAGGCTAAGATTGAGAGATTTCCCATGCAGGAGAGCTGGTAATAACTCCAAATGGTTAAGTGAGGAGTAGCTATATTGACTTTGTATTTCTCACTAAAAATTCAAGTGATTATTACAATTTAGAAAAATATAAATTTGTTTAATGACAATTGTGGTGAGTTAACTTGATTTTTGTTTCATAAAAATGTTGCTAAAAATTCAATAAAGGATTAAGATGATCATTTCAGCATTACAGAAAATATTCTATAACAAAGCTTTATAAATGATGTTTTAAGATAATTCTTACATAATTTCAATAATACAATATTAGAAATGCTATTTTAATGTATGGCTTTCCAAACTATTTCAGATTTGACAATAAATATTTTAAATTTAAGATTGCATATGTAACAAATTTACAAAAGAATATGTACAAACAGGATGAGCATTAAATTTATAACAAATTTAATGCTCATCCTGTTTGAGTATTGTCATTGTCATTGGCTGTAATTTGTATGTTAAAAAGGGGAATTGATGCTATCAAAAACATTAATTTAGTACTAGTTTTTTTTTTATAAAAAAATATAGGCAATATTACTGCTATTGAATTTTCTATGGCAATGACAAAAAAGTTAATATTTTTGATGGGCCTTTTTAATTGTGTAAAAATTCCTTTCCCTTGGTGGATGGGGGAGCAACTTCAAAATTTCAATGGAGATACTTTTAATTTTAAACAAATCAATGTGAAAATAATCTTCGTTTTGATTTCTGGGTGAAAATATGAAATACACACAATTTTAATTATTTAAAAATTAATTCAGAAATCGGGCACTTAAGTTCAATTTTGAAATTGTTTCAATTAATTATCTCACAAAAAGTTTATTAGCCTGTTATCTTTGAAAATGTGATAATTATAGAAAATTATTTTCTTCAAAAATATTCTCAATAAAACGTTATTTTTACCTTCCCAGCTGTTGTAACAGAGGGAACGTATGGCAGTCAGTCAAAAAATGACCCCAAGATTTTTAATTTTTGTACTCAAAATGTCAAGAAACAAAAAAATTTGAGGGTTTTCCTGTATACATGGATGTTAGCGTGTGGGAGGCATGATTTCATTCACTATTTGAAACTTAATAATGCCTGTGCTTTTTGTCAAACAATTTCAAAATTTTGCAGGGAGGTTTGTTTATTAGGGGAATTGATGCTATTAAATTTTGGAGGGTAGGGAGATAAAGGGGGTTGTGTGTCACAGCTCCATTAGGTTTGGACTTAATTTTACTCATTATTAGCATTTAGAATTTTTCATAAAACCCAACCTTACCTTCAAAATTAAGCTCTATGCCATTTTATAATAAAAATATAACAGATAGTGCCACACATGCAGTTTTAAATGTTGCTAGAAAAGTTAAGCACCTTGTTGCTGGATTTTTTAATACAGAATTCAAAGATAAAAAATTTGGGGTTTTCTCATCCCATCCAGAAAGGGGACAGAAGAGGCTTTGCTTTTACATCTTAAGCCCCTTGAAAATATTAAATTTTCATTCTTATCAATTTTTTCATTAGAAGTGTCTTCCCCAAGTTATTGACTTTGTAATACCTTGTTTAAAATACATATATTAGAGAAAGTACATTTTCTTTAACAAAAGTGACAATACTAAATAGGTACAAAATTTTTAATTTATTATAAAAAAGAAAAATAATCTTTTTATTTACAATCATATAAATTTTTACAGCTATAAATAGATTGTGTTCATTCAATTTAAATATTGTCTTTTGGCAATATGTTATCAAAGCTTAATCACTGTGACTCGAAGACGAAAACTGCCTACTTTTGCTGCTTGTAGCACGCAGTTCAGAAAGACGTTTTTCTGTAAAGAGAAATTCAAATTTAAAGTTTGAAAAGGAAGCTGAAAGTATTGTTTAAAAACAGAAATTTTAACTTACGTTTTAATATTAAAGTATTTTTCACACCCACAAATTTATACACAGGATAGAAAATAATCACAAGCAAACAAGTTATAACAGCTATAATGTATACAATTGCATCCTGATTATGATGTGGTATACATTTGTAAATATTCCTCCATTCGTGGCGAGTGACATTTATCTGTAAATTAAGATATGTTTCATCATTTATTACAATTATATCAATTAAGTGAGGAAGCTAGAAATTACATAATTCTACATCTTAGTACAATTTATGACTATACATGTAAAGTATGAAGTCAAGACTATATTAAAAAAAAAATACAACAGAGAAATTAGAATGACAAATCTAACCACTATGAGTGTTTGTTTAGAAACAGACAAAAAAATTAATTTCACACAAAACAAATTTTAAACTGACATTAAAATTTTAAAGAGATTTAATATCTTTATTTATTCATTTTGCAGATATCTTTAAATTCAAACTTAAAAACAAATGATATTTTTTATAATTGATTTTAAAACAGACAATATGTGTTCTATACTATATTAACAAATAACTTGGGGAAAAAGACACTTTACTGCTGTCATAACTCAAAAATTGTTATAATTATATATAACAGTCAAAATTACAAATAAAACTTAATTTAACAATAAGTGAGAAACAAACATATAAAATAAATATAATGAAATACATTCAAAATTTCAATTTGTTCTCAAATTCGTGAATTGAGAACAAATATTAGGTATATCTAGAATTTATATTTAAAGATTCTGCTTTGTATATTTTTATTAATATAGTTTTGTAATTTGTAAAATTTCATTTTTCATTAAAATTTTTAATTCAAGCAATTACCATAAATAATTTATACAATACACTTATACTGCTATTGAAAATTAAAGTCCAGAAGTCAAAGATTAAATCATTAAATAAGATTTAGAACTATACAGCATATAAAAATAATTTTAATAGTAAATCCATTTCTACAATGAAAATTGGTAAAGAAACTCTTTTTTATTGAAATTAAATGCAGTTCATTCTCAATAATCTCAACCAATTATGCTTGTTTTTTTTCTTTTCCAAATTTTACAAAATTAACAACATATTTATTGAACTATATTTAATTATAACAAATTAATACTGTATGACTAAAATATGCTGTAGCCATATTAAATTTGTTATGTTTTGAAAATTTCTAGTTTATAATGAAACAATAAAGAATTACAATTAAAAGCATTTGTTGTTGCAGCACAGCATTTGCAAAGAAAAACAAGAATAAATTTTGTCTTCAAACAGTGTACATTCTAATACAGAGAATTGTTAATTTAATTTTAGCACATGACATTTTAGTTGTTTCAAAAAATGATAAATTTGTTTATAAAATTAATACATACTGCAAATTTTAGCTAGAGATGATATGATACTAAATTCTGCTGATACAATCTGATAGACCAATTTAAAAATTATCCTCAATACTTGTTTTTATCCATATTCTACAGGTGTCAATAATAAATGAAAGCCTAAAAGCTCATTGGTTTAGAGACTATATTTGAATTTAAAACGTTAGTGAAATAAAGAAATAAAAGTTTACAAATCGATTCACAAATTCTTTCAGATCTGGGCCTTAGGCAATTATAAAAGTGTAGTTTGCCTACACCCGACTCTGGTCCTGTTTTTAGGAAAAAATTTTTCAGGAATGCGAGTGCACTGTACTGTAGTTAAAAATTTTCAAATATCGAGAAACTTTTTAATGTTTTTTACATAATAATCAGCAAGTTTATGTGGCTACTTCCCCAACTACTGTTTTTACTACATTCCAGTCTGTACATCCATGCATGAAGAATGTCTTTTCATTTATTATATCTTGTCTACATTTTTATATTTAAAATTCTGTTGTTATTTTATAATAAATCTGAATTTTTGCATTTCCATTATTTCCTTATTAAAATTAATAAAAATAAAATTTCACTTTACAGACCAGTTTTATAGACTATTATGTGACAGATTTATGTTAATTTGAATCCAAAACACAATCTTGTAAACAAGTTTATTTTTAGTAAAAATTTCTAAAAACTCAATTCAGGGAATTTGTTCTCTGACAGTTATCCTTAACATATGCATGTATTAAAAACAAGTATCATCAAATTTTATAAAATGCATTTTGGGTATCTTGCATTCCTCTCCAGTTGTTGTGAAATTCCTGTTTGAATAAGCTTAACAACAACAAGCAAAAACAAAAATAAAAAAGGTTCTTGAGCACCTTTCTTAATTTAGTTCTTATAAGTACAATGCATAAAGTCTACACTTTTAAATTTCCTTTGAAGTCTCCATATATATTCTTAAGACAGTTTCCTGGCAAAATAATTGAACAGGAAGCTGTCAAATGAAAGATAAGTACTGTGCAAAGATGTAACTGTGAAGATAGAATTTGAAAATATTGTGAGATAGCAAAGAGAAAATTATTTATTTGTAAATAATTTATTAATTATTTATAAATAAATATTCTCTGTTGCTTTAATATATTATTTAATAATTTATATAAATAATTATCTCTTTTATATTTAGTTACTTACATTATTTCTTTTTCTTTTTGTTTCAATTACTTTCAATTTTGGAGTGAATTGAGTTATGTTAAACCTGAACTACTCTGTCAACACTAGAACTTTATTTGCATAATCTCATACTAACCTAACATTTGATTATCATTAGTATGAGAATAATGACAAAAATATTATCTGGTTATATGGTGGTATATGTTAAATATTTGTAGAAACACAATTAAGAAACATTTTATTTTTTGCAATCATGTTCAATATACTAATTAACAATGTATAAAGGCCCATTGTCAAATTGATACAGAAAGCTATACTTCTATATTATATATTCTATATATCAGTACACAGCTGTTGAATTTTAAGTGTTTAATTGATCAACCTGGCTGATTGAGTTTGTCTTCTGCTAGGTTATTTTCCTTAATCAAGTTAACTGTTTGAGATTTTGAATAATTAGAATTTTATAAATTGTACTAATAATTAACTATATTGTTGCAAATACTGAATTTGAAAGTTGCACAGTAATATCTGAGTTTTATACTAATTATTGTTGTTGAAATTATAAGTTTTGTTTTATAGCAGTCATAATTTAATACTGTATAGTTTTTTGATATTTTATGAACTCTGACTCAAGGATCATTTCCTTGATATTTTGGATCTGCAATATTATACATCAACTGTTGTTCAACATTTATGAGTACAGTAAAGAAAATATAGGTATCTCTTGTATAACACAGTAGTTATGTTCTGAAAAAATGTCATGTTATACAAATCCATGCTATTCAAAACAAAGGACTAATGCAAAACATGGGGTTAGGTTCCAAAAGTTAACAAAAGTATAGTACAGTATATTCTTTTTTGTTACTAAGAAAAATATGTTTATTAAAGCAATCAATAATTAACTAACAATCACAATTAAAGTACTGTATTATACATTAATATTAATTTTAGTTAACTGAAAGTGTTTTCTTTTTACAAAGTATTGTCATCTGAATTTTTTTTGTATATCTTGATCACAAAATTGTCTTCATTTTTCTATCAGGTCAGTCCATAAGTTCTGCATATTTTATGATCTTAAGAAAAATCTTGTTTTGCTGTTAAAAATGCCAGTCTAATGTGATACTTTTTACACTGAAGTGTTAAATTGGATCTCATTCATATAATACTGTTCAGAATTGGAAACATTTCGGTTGTTTAGTTTCGTTAAAATGGAACTAACAGATGAATATAAGAGACATGTTTTATACTTTTTATTTTTAAGTGATGAGAATGCTACAAATGCAGCCAAAAAATTAAATACTGTTCATAATCAAACTGTAATTAGTGTATGGACTGCGCAGAAGTGGTTTGAAAGATTTAGAAATAATGATTTTAGTGTGGAGGATAAGGCTCGTACTGGAAGACCTGTTGACTTTGATGATGATGCTCTCTCTGCACTAGTTGAAGCAGAACCATCTTTAACAGTTGATGAAATTGCGGAACGTTTAAATTCATCCCATGGAACTGTTCATAGACATCTACAACAAATCGGAAAAGTTTCAAAGCTAGGAAAATGGATACCACATGAACTGTCAATAGCTAACTGACAACAACGTCAACTGCTCAACTCCAAAGCTTCAACTGGGAAATTTTACCTCATCCACCATATTTGCCAGATATTGCTCCCAGTGATTATCATCTTTTTCGGAGTTTGCAGAATTTTTTAAAAGGAAAAACTTTTGAGGATGAGAACAATGTAAAAAAGGCTATTTCTGAATATTTTGATTCAAAACCGAAATCATTTTACAAAGACGGGATTAAAAAGCTACCATCAAGATGGCAAGAGATTGTACAAAATAATGGTGAATACATTATAGATTGAAATAAAATTTAATTAAAATTTTTTGTTGGTTTTTTTATAGATAAAAATGCACACGAACTTATGGACTGACCTGATATCTTTATAATAAAAATTTTTATGTGTGAAAAAATAAAAATAAATGTTATTATTTAAAAATTTGTTCAATCAAGGAATGAGCAATTTTTTTTCCAGAATTTGTGTTCAAATAACAAATTGTTTGAGTACTGAGTATGAGATTGAGTAATCATTTATAAAAATGATGAACAAAATACAGTATTTTGTTCATCACTTTTATAAATGATTACTTACCTACAGGAGAAAAAAGTTTAACAACACTTATCTAAAAATGTTTAAATAAACTTTACTAAATACAAATATTAATCTATAAAAACAAAACATAGTGATAGTGTTAAAGACTAAAATTTAAGAACAACAACAACTACCACCTGGTTGATAGGAAAGCTAGGACAAGGAAGAAAAAAATTGTACTATCAGTTTTCATTAATCAAACCTGACAAAGCACAAAACAAATTGAAAATTTCAATATTCTAAAATCCATGGGCAAATTTGAAATAATGTATGATTACTTGAATAAAAAATATTGAATAAAGAGTTGTGAAATTTTGTATGGAAAATTTCCCAAATTTTTGAATCATGTTAGAACAAAACCATGTTGTAGAAGTATCATGTTGTATGAGGGAGATCTGTATATGGACTTTTAAGAAAATTTAAAAGTAAGGAGACTTCTTACATTTGAAAAAAAGGCTTAAATCTTTTTATCTGTTTGTGTTTTTACTTCTTTATTTTATTGTATTACACTTACCCAAACATTAGAGTTTACATAGAAAGAGGCATGCAAAACACTATAAATGCATTTTGTAAAGTTTGATAATTATAATATTTGCCTACATAGCATAATGAACAGTTATAGGATAAAAAGTTTATTCTATTTATTTCTATTAAAAGTTTATTCTAGTTTATTTACTTGCACCGAGTTTTTTAAATAGTTTATTTTCAGTAGAAATGTTTTCTAGATTGAGTTCAAATTGAGTAAGATGTATACAGTAAATCAATCCTAAAAAAAGAACCAAATTGTAGTTATTATATTAGAAATAGAAATTCTCCCATCAAAGCATGACAAAATATTTTTTATGAGAAAGTAGAGTTTGAAGAATTCTACTTTCTCATAAAAAATATTGAGAAGAGCTTCAAGTTGAGCTTGATGTTGTGATGCTGTTTCTGCAGCCCTTGACAAAGCAATTCTTACTCGATGTTGCTCAAGTCAACTTCATGGCCTTCAGGGATGTTGGTCATACTTACTCTTTTAAATCTAGAATTTACATGGCCAATTTTACTCTTATGCTTTACCCCTAGGCATTTTTTTTTTCTCGACAAAATAGCAAGAAACTTTAACTCCATATTGATAATTTAGTCAAAAGATGTATGTACAGTACATTAATTAGATGAGCAATAACACTTTCTAAATAATGGTCTTGTTAGATTGTTACTTCCAATTTGATAATAGAATGTCACGTGGTCACTATGGAAAGATTTTTTTAAAAAAGTGACCTGATGCAGCTATCATTTTTAAAGTTTAAATTTAATGAAGTTTAAAATAACCCATTTGCCAAAATATTTTAAAATGTAACTTAAGAGAAATTCCCTCATCAAGCATGAATATCACATGGTCACTGACATCACTGTGATCACCAATCCAAAATCAATAAAATGTTTATTCTATAGCTAATATTTCCACAAAATAAATAGCCTATACTTTCCATCAGAACATAAAATGAATATAAACAAAATTTCATGTGGACTGGACAAAAATTGCAGGAGTTATAAGGAACTCACACACACACACAATGGCTTTTATATTAGTAATTAAATATTAATTAAATTTTGTATTTTTTTTTGTTTTATGGGATTCATGTATAATAAATTGGTAATAATAAACAGATATAATCTCCATTTTATGAACTTCATATATAAATAAGAAAATTATAGCATAATTCTATGGCTTCAAAGAATACGAGCCAATGTTAAAGGCAAATGCCCATGACATTGGCCTTTATTCTTCCAAGCCACAAAATTATCTTACAGATTTTACACAATATAATACACAATAATATATTTGTTTCATAAGGCCATATTTTGTTCATAAAATGTTTAATGATAAGTCCAACAAATTTCATTTCAAAAGTTCTTTAAATTATGATCAATGAACTTTTTATAATTAAATTTCTTTTTACATTACACTTTTAATTTTTATCTGAAGTCATAATTGTCTGCTAGGAAAAAACAATTACATCAAACATCTTATATACTTTGTTTTATAAGCACAATGTAATGTAATAACGATCACTTGGCATGATTCATTTCTTTATTTCAATTCTAATTGACAATCTTATATACTTAGTGTATTATATTTAAATGACAACATACAAAAATTGAAATAATTTTTTCAAATATTTCAAAAATACATACCTTATCTAAAATATCTGCACAAACATTATTATCGAGAGCCATGCTTAGTTTTCTATATGCATTGTTTACTTTATGATATAAATCCTTGCAAGAATGACACACTGTTGAATTCACAATCTTTCCTTTCTACAAAATTTATGATTTTAGATACAATTTAATGAAAATATAACATTATATTGATAAAATACTGTTACCTCAGTCTTTGAATAATTTTTGAAACATTCATCAAGGGAATGAGAAATGTTGATGAAATGTAATGACTCATTGCTTAGAATTTCTTTATCATCATCGATCACTTTGAAGCAATCTGTTAACAATTAACAATTGGTTTCTTTCAGAGATTAAAGTTTATAATTCAAAGTATACTTACTATCACAGTTTGCTGTGTACCAAGTATTCAATATAAAATTACAAGTTGTTCCAACAATTTGAATTCTATCCTGGTTAAGCAATTGCTTTTGACAATTATATTTGTCTGACTAGAAAAAAAAATGCAGTGTATTAATAAATTAAATCATTCATTCTAAATTGATATTTATTTATTTATAATATTTTTAAAAGAAGCAAAGACTTTATAAACAGGAAATTTTATCACATTTCAGTTATAATCCTATTTTATCATTATAGTCAGTGAGTTTTGGATAGATGTTATATCTTTTTTATTCTAAATACATACAAACTAATTTCAAAACTTTCTACTGCCTTTCTATTCAATAAAATAAACTTTTGTAAAATATCATCAAGTGAAGTTGTAATGTTCAATATGACTAATCAAACATCCTTACTACACCCAATACATTTAAAGCTCTACATCAACCAAAGCCGAATATTGTCAGGCTAGAAACAGCTATAGTACTAATAATTTAATAGACAATTTGGCATTACAGTTAGGCGTTAGACACCATCTCTTGATAAATTTAATAATTATAATTTAATTAAATTTAAATAATAATTTTAGAATTACTGGAAGAAAAGAATTGGCCCAAAGAGGGACTCAAACCCGCAATTCCTGCTTACCATGCAGATGCATTACCAATGGCGCCTAACTCCTAATTCTAATGCAAATTGTCTATTAAATTATTAGTATATTAACCGTTTCTAGCCCGATAATATTTGGCTTTGGTTGATATAAAGTTCAACATGACTAATATGTCATCTGCCACTTTCTGAGACTATCAACACAATGAACAGGAGGCACCTTTATCAAAGAACTGCACTAATACAGTAGTCCAATAGTAGGGAAAGAAGCAGTTCTATAGTGAGGCTTCCCTTTGTTTGTTTGATGGTAGACACACCATTGCAGCCATTCATGATTGTCTCACAATCAGATAATCATTTGCTCTGGTGGTCTGTCTCTTAGCATCCAGAGCCTGCCACCATAGATGTACACATTCATTTATCCATTATCCCCAATGCCTCATCACAATCATATCAGAAAGTCTAGATAGCAAGTAATTTGGCAAAACAAGCATTCTGCTTCCTTCAACCCAACAATGTAGCCTTTCTTAAACTCTGTCAGCTATGCATAATGTCTTTGACTGCATTTTATAGATGTTTGTGGAATTGAAACCTCAAACCAATGGGTATTCTATCAGGGTGCATAACATTTTTGGTCAGTGAGCATAGATGCAAATTATAAAAAGTCTGAGTTGCTAATTTCTATACCTCCTTGTTTGTTAGAACTACCACAAACTTTATATATTTAGAAACTTTATATGTTTATAGTTCTAACAAACAAGGAGGTAATGAAATTAGCAACTCAGATTTTTTTTAATAATTTGCATCTATTATACACAGGAAATCCTCATTAGTTTGAAATTCACAGAATAAAATATTCTATTCACAATGAATTATCAAATTACTGAGATTTACACATTTCTGTGTAATATGCCAAATGCCATGTAACTGGTATAATTTATTAAGCAATTGGAATATGGATACTTATACAGAGTGCTATTTTCATTAATTAACACTTTATAATAATAATTAAGATTAATTAAAGAATACCATAGTAGGTTAAATGCTATTCTCAGAACACAGTTAAATGAAAAAAATACAGTTAAAGCAATAAACACGTATATTGTCCCAGTACTCACTTATTCTTTTGGAGTTATACATTGGACTCACACAGATCTTGAGCAACTCCAAATAAAACAAGAACAACACTTACTAAGCATAAACAACATCATCCTAAATCTGCCATTGAAAGATTAATTAATTAAGCAATCATTGGCTCAAAAGGGACTCCATTGCAGGCATCCCTAAAACCCAGCCCAGGATTTTGTTGATAAAACTGCATCAAATAGCCGGTTAGCTTGGGGATGCCTCTTTAGGGAGACAGAAGGGTTCACAGTTGCCATAATCAAGTCATAAATATAAAAACTACAGAAAACACATACTCAAAGATACAATACTCACAAACAACACATGCAGAAATGTCACATCATGCCAGAAACTATACAACACATCACAAGCTTTTGGCACAGACAGCTTATTTACGTAGATATAATCAAGTAGCAAGGACAGCACAGAGGCAGTTTGATCTAAACCAGTGTTTTTCAACCTTTTTGAATACGCGACCCCTTTACAAGTTAAAAATTTTTGGCGACCCCCCAGGTCCATATTAAAAGTATGTCAATGATTTTAAAAATTACGTATTTAATTTTCTTTCTGTTGAGACCTAAATATCAATCGAAAAATCAATTGTACTCTGCAAATAAGTCGCAAGAGCCCTGCAAATAGTAACTTTGCCACGGGGGCGCTGGAAGCGAATGCGCCAACAAGTACAGACGTGATTGTATTGTCTTTGCGCTTTGCTCCGCAAGACCATAAAATGGATAAATTTCTCAAAAGATCGCAGCCCTCCACGTCTGGTACAAGTGGCAGTGACGGAAGTGAATCAAAACCGAAAAAAAACAGACATTACTACGACAATTACTTGAAATACGGATTTACTGTCATGAATAATAAACCTCAATGTGTAATTTGCGGCGATGTATTATCACGTGAGAGTATGAAACCATCAAAACTTATGCGTCACCTTTCAACCAAACATCCCAAAGAAGCTGATAAACCGCTGGATTTCTTTGAATGTAAGCTGAAAACCCTTAACCTGCAGCAAAATACTATGATTCAGGTAATAAAATAGTATTGTTATTTGGTGATTAAAAATAATATTTATTATTGCTTAATTATTTATTTGTTTTTCTGATTTTTTGTCTGTTTTTAGGTATCCAGTGTCAACGAAAACGCATTATTAGCTAGTTACAGAGTTGCATACCGAGTTGCTAAAGCAGGGAAGCCGCATACAGATGCCGAAAATCTTATTTTGCCAGCAGCCCTAGATATGGTTGAAATTATGTTAGGTAGGCAGGAGGCAAGCAAGCTAAAAAGCATACCACTTTCTGACAATACTATTGAACGCAGAATAAACGATATGGCCAGTGACATTCGAGAACAAGTAGTCGAGAAATTAAAGAAGAGCCCACATTTTGCTTTGCAGTTTGACGAATCTACTGATGTTTCAGATTGTGCACAGTTTGTAGTATTTGTGCGCTTTGAAGCAGATGAAAGTATCACAGAAGACATTTTATTTTGCAAAGCACTTTCTTCAAACACCACAGGTCAGTGTTTGTACGACATATTTTTAGAAAGCACTCGCAACTACAAGATTGATTGGACAAAATGTATTGCCATTTGTAGCGATGGCGCTAAAGCTATGACTGGACAAAAAAGCGGACTCG